AAGGAGTTTTTGATTCCCTGCCATTCGAACAAATGTGAACACCAGCTGTGATCCTCGGTTGAAAACTGATCTCTGAACATGGTCCAGATACACAGTAAACTCTTCCAAGTCTCGCCTTTTGCCATGCCAGAAACGTACTGTATCAGTTTTTATGAAAAATGAATCTCCTTGCTCATTCACAACTCTATAGTCAAAGCCGACACCAAACACCCTTTCTAGGTCTTGCCTCATTCTTACAGTATGAACAGTGCGAGACTTTGTTGTTTTATGTAGGGTCCCAGCAGCTTGTAAGGTTTTGAAGTGTTCATCTCTCATGTACTGGCGAATTACCACTTTTGAGTCTGTATTACTCGGACGCAGCGAGTCTTTTATTGATACTAAAAGTGAGTGAAGATGAGGATCCTGAATGTAGGATGTGGCCATCGGGCGAATGTGTTCTTTCTTTATGGACTCATCATATCTGGAACTCCAACCTGTTTGATAAAAAAATTGAAACACATTATTTATAATTATGTTGAATTTGAACTATTAAGTGTATAGAAGAAGAGATTTAAAAAGTCTAATATCCGATTATTGTAGGCTAAAAATTGATAGTATGACACAAAGTTGTAAAGGTAGACCTACTAAATCTGTCCTTATGTAAATACCAATAACAAACAAGACTAAAATTAAATTAGTCATATTTTATTTTCTCTGCACATATGGGCTTTATAAAGGCTTAGAATAATGGAAGATTTTCACTTTTTTTTCTTATCAAGGTCAAGGTCAGTTGAAGGCCAAGGTCACACATATCGCCCTCAATGGAAAGGTTTTGTCTTAAGGCACAACGTGTGTAAATATGAAGAAATTCCATGAAGTAATGAAAAAGTTATGGCCAAGATTAAAGTTTCTGGACAGACACGCACACAGACAGACCCACATGGGACAAAAACAATATCCCCCCCCACGATCAAAGATCTGGGGGCATAAAAAATAAATGTTGATATGAAATTACCAATATAGTGGACTTTTGCATAGCCAGATGAATCCTCACTGAGGATCTCTACTGGATAATATCCTGGTGTCCATGATTTGTGTATTTTCCTGGCTGCCTTTGGACATGGAGGAAATGCCAAGTCACTGGAAAATAATTTGTTTTATGCAATTAATACAAGATATCATTAACTCTGACAAATTAAATGCTGGCCAAAATCCAAGTAATTGTGTAAATAGATATATGTATTTAAGTATTATTTACTATACATGCATAGACTGTATTTTGATAAGAATTATGAGTATGATAGTTCTTGACATATACATGTTTTCTTCAGGAAGATAGGGGTAGGGGTGGGGGAGTATGGAGTGTCCCCATCTTGTTTTGGAAATTTTTTCTGCTTCTGTATACAAGACATTAGCTATGTCCCCTATACATGTAAGCCAAGTGGTATTTATAAATAACTCCAGACTATGCTACTTACTATGGAGAAAATACTGCATATCAATTTGCCAAACACATATCAACTTAATTGCATAATGAAATCAAATTCTGCTTTCATTTAATCATATTCAAGTAACTGTTATGTATATTAAAGATAGACTATATGTACCATATACATGTACCTATCTGTATAGACTTCAGAAATTAAGCTGGATTGAATCCCATCTGTTTGATATTCTGACTATAAACTGAAAATGTTATTATATTAACAGAAACAAGTTACCTTAAAATACTTTATTTTTGATGTTTTTATCGTACCCCATTGATACAGTCAACGCCTATTGTGCCCATGGAATATTCACTGTAGCATTTGTGTTTGTTATTAAAATAAAAATAATGTAAGATACAAAAAATATGTTCCAAATGTTGTGTAGACCTATAGTATTAATCTACATTGCAATGGTGTTGAGGTAATGTAAATCTAAAGCATTATGAAAGGATGCTCATTTGGGCCAACTGGGGTATAATATCTCCCCTTACACCGGAGGGAAAACGCATAGCTTGGTTGTAGATGTCATTGCCGAAATAACAGCAAATCTCTTCTTGAAATATCACTGGCATATCGTAGTACATTCTTTAATATGTCTTAAAAACTTACTCACGCATATGAATCCATTACTTCGCCCTTCTTTTGGTTTTTTATGACTGCTTGTCTCTTCGCTTCCATCTTCTTCAAGCTACGCTACGAGTTCCAAAAGGGGGAGATAACTCTGCATAACACTCCATTATGATCTGATATGGTAGATTGAGAAAAGAGCAGGAGAAATATTACACCCCTGTTTTACGCCCTGCGTGACGTTCAACCAATCTGTGACGTAATGATTTAAACGTATTGCACATCTGACGTCACTATATAACGATTTGACGGCGTTCATGAAAGCTCCCTCGATGCCGATTGCATATAATTTGTACCATAAACAATCCCGATTTACAGTGTCGAACGCCTTGCGTATATCCACAAAGCATACAAAAGTACAAAGTTGTTTCAATTTCCTGTTGTTGACTGTGTTGTAAAGCGAGTAGATGTGATCAAGACAGTTTCTTTTTTGCCTAAAACCATTTTGTTCCTCTACTAGTACATCATGCATTTCTAGCCATTTGTTTAATCTCCGACCTAGTACATCTGTGTAGATTTTACAAGGAATAGATAGTAATGAGTTCCCACGATAACTAAGAGGGTCTGTAGGATCCTTGTTGTCTGATTTCGGAATAGGCTGTATTATTCCTGATGACCAGTCACGTGGTATCTCTCCATTAACGAAACAATAGGTAAAAATTTTTAGAAGAATATCAACACATGTATGAATTGCGCAGAACATCCGCTGGAATCTTGTCGAAACCGGGGGATTTTCTTAGTTTTGCTCTGAAAATTACTGACTTCACCTCCTCCCGTCTAATTGGAACGTTCAAAAGCTGCATATGAGAGGCTCACTAGAGGCTCACCACTTAAATGAATTCAATTTAATATATTAAGCAACACACACAAGTAAACACGCTCCTTCAGGGCTTTATCAAAACAAACAACTAAATAGGAAGGAAAATACACAAAGTCCACATTTAAGACCCTACGGCCAGTATAGTTCAAACATAGACGGGAACTTCCGTGTACAACGGTCATGGACTGGTTTACAGTTGGATTCGTGCCTTGTACCCTGGCTTGTAGCATATGGAACCCTGTTAGGTAGTACAATAGGGATAAACAGTTCTCGATAGTTAATGTACAGAACTGTTCATTCAACACTGGCGATAGGGTCTAAAACTGGAAAAATCCCACACAATTAAACTAAACACACAAACATGCAAACCAAATAGACCCACCTCCCATCACCCCCGCGTCCATCCCATCTCAAACCTTATATAAATAGTATTTTTACACAAATTGCGTGGGGCATAATATTTTATAGTTTATACTCAAATGTAACTAGTTAGAATTAACATGCAACTCCTACTAAACTTGTAACCTACAACATAATCCAACCATCCTACACAAAGTATCTCTCTGATTCCAAAATCCTACATATCATAGATAATTAAAGTCTATCATAACAATTTCTCCTTCAATGACGAAACCTCCTATAACCCTTGTAAATCAGCACATTCACATAAATCGCATATCTAATAATAAAAGTCGGTACAGTGAACAGGCGTATGCAGAAGGAATTGAGTGGAATCACAGAAAGCAATAGACATTGGTGAAGTGATAAAATAGCTTAAGCTATATGATTGGAAAGGTTTTCAAGACGGGATCACAAAAAATGTGCTAAGAATAAAGTTAATCATAATTTCACCTGCACCAAACTAACCACTAACTATAGTCCGACGGATGGGACTTTAAACGGTGGCCCGTGTGAGGATTGTCCACTCTCGCAACTCCTGGACATGTTCTAACTGCTTGAGTTAGGTTAAGGCAATGTTAGTCCCGGGAACCGTCTTCTACGACTAGTGATCACAGCTACAGACGGTTCCAGCCCATTGATGGGGTACAAGTCGCCCCCTAACATCGCCAGAACATTGACGTTCGTCGGTGAGATGATGCCCCAACACGGGAGGAGTCAAGGAAACGGAAAACCTGTTAACCAACCAACCAAATCGCCACTTCAGTCTTTCTCTACCCTCGCAAAAAATGCAGTTGATATTTGAAGACACTGACCGTGTATTATCTATTTATCCCGCAACAGACACTGCCATTGTCGGAATACACCTGCCACATATATTTTTGCTGTAATAGGCAGTGACGGAAACAGCTGTATTCTAGCAGGTACATATATAACGATATGTAGTATCGTATTGAAGGAGTTTCCAGTCTCTGTGCTATATGTCTCTGATTCTAGCAAGAGCGGGTAATTCGACAGAATTACTCTCTGATTTAACTTTAAAATTATGTTCCTAAATATGATTAGTTGTTGATATAAGTGATTTCATATGTTGTTATGAACTTGTTTATGAACTTGTTGATCTATGAAAATTCATAAAATCGCTGTTATATCCAATGAAGTTTGGAACTATATCTCCATGCGGAGCAATTACTTTGGCGTCCGTTATCGGACAAAGCTCAGCATAACGTCAACATGAAGTAAACACAGATTGAACAATAAAACTGTTTAAGATTTACTAGTCTGATTTTCAATCTATGTTGTTATATAAATATTATATATGGTAATTGTCTTAAAATAAGTTGTAATTTGGCTTGGGACAGAAAGACAAACGATTAAGATATGAATAGGCCGTATATTTACCGTATAGTGCCTCTCTGGTTTCTGTACTACAAATACTTGAAGTTCATTGTTTCTCTAATTTCTTAGACAATGGGTATAATCATAATGTTATGTGACAGGAATATTTATTAGTTGGCAGTCGCGTTGGAAAAATCCGAGATATCTGTTTAAAAAAAAAATAAAAGAAATCCGGTTTGTTTATCCTGGTTCCATTTTATTGTTAGTGCGAGACATTCTACTTCCTTGAAAATTGGCAATGGCGGTGAGTGTGTACACTATGGCGTGGTTTCATGCATTTGTTCTTGTTTTCACTTTGATTTGGATGAAATGTTAGTTATTAGACGTACCTATGACGAATCAGATACTGATACATACTTGATAGATGCATATGAATAATTTATGATGGATTATACGTCATGATGGGATTGGCGTGTTCTCAATCTCTAATATTGCTGCATTAACAATTATTCAAAATTCGTAGCAGAAGCATGGATGTTGTATTGTGGTATAACTTCATTAGGAGCACCGGCGTATATCTGCTATATAGTTAAAATGTGACCATAGGTTGGGTCCGCTCATATTTGTTTATGCAGTTAGAAAAAAATGGAGGGCGAATGTAAGTCAGTGAAATGAAGGTTTTTGGCATATTTGCTCAATTTCAGGCGATTTTTTGGAATTTCTTCATATTTTCAGTATCCATATATACTCACTATTTAGAATTAGATTCTAAAGTGAGTCCATCCAATAAGGCATCATGCACTCACTGTGTCGCCTGCAGTTAATCATCCTTTTTATGCAGATTTAGGTCACACAGACTTTGCACTCACATACCATTTATATGTATTATAGCGAAAAAATTGATCACATTTTTTGAAATTGTGTTTGTTTTTACATTCTTCAGGCCACAGATCTTAGTAACACATACATTACCTTTATGAAAAATATTTTATCTTTAGAGTGAATGTTGAAGTATTTACCAATAGCTTGTGACCTGACAAATTTGGAATTATAGATGTAGAAATGTCTAAATAGACATTTTCCTGTCTGGTTGAAACATTCTCGTCTCTAATGGATATCTCAATAACTATGTGGAAATCGTAAAATCTACACTCATAGAACATTATAGGATATGTGTTTCATATGTTGTAGAAATTCCATATTAACATCAAGGTGCCCACCTACCTTTCACAATGCCTGCCATATTTTCTTTAATGTTGCTGATCCTGCTCTCAGCTCAGGTTCCAAAATCCAGTCCAGGATTATAATTGAAATTTTGTTTTGTAAGAAAGAAAAATTTTAAAAATTCAAATTTTCTCTTTCTATTTGAATATATTGATCTAATATGCAATAACAAATGTGCTCAATTTGTTATGTTTGAAAATGACATGTTTACAATACAATTGATGTTGTATTTAACAAAAGAGACATATACATATATTTTGGGTATATATTTAAAGTTGTCACCAATTCATTTCAGTATTTGTTTGTAGTGTTACAACTATTTTTTGGACTAAGGCAGATTGATACAAAAGGAAAATCAGAGAAATAATGATGATATTTTTTTTATGGAACACTCTACGGACTGAACTTGTTTACCACAAACCAGAATTAGTGGTGACTCAATTTTCAACGGCAATCATACTGTTGTGCATACTACATATATGTAACATCTAGGTGAAATGAAAAAGCTTTTTTAATGATCCATGAAACAAGAACAACTAAAATATTGATTATGATTGGTTATTAGCTGGAAGTAAACATGGTTATTAGCTAGAAGTGAACATGATTGTAAATTCGGTAAGAAATATAAAAATTGTTGTCTTTTCAAGCAACCATCACTTGTCGATTAATGGCCAGGTGTGGAACTGGTTCAGATCATGCTTGTCCAAAGCCATACTTAGTGTAAGATATACACAACTCAAATACAATGTATGTTCCCATTTAAATGTTGAAAACAACAATGTATTGACCTTCAAATTCCATTTGAATCAGTTTTTCTGCCTAGATTTGAGAGAGGAACAAGTACTAGAAAATTAGCACTTGAGGAATAAGAGGTTGAAGTCAGTGCAATAACATAAAATAAATTGCCTGACCAGCAGCCTCTTATGTTCATGAGACTTGTCATATTTCTGGATGTATATATGTTACTCATCATGATATTTTCAGACTGCATAATGCACATGTGATGTTACAAACAAAAGTAACAACCTTAACATTTATCATATATTAAATGTTTTAATTCACTATAAAAAGTTCTTCATTTATCTACAAATCTTGCAGAAAATTAATTCCCCAACATCACCTACATAGGATTGTCAAATATTGATGAGAACTTTTTTTTATATACTCTGTTTTTAATAACTATAATTGGTAGGGTACTCACAGCAAGGTGACCTGTTTTTACATCAAGTTCAACAACTATATTTTCCACAAATATCTAATAATTTCACTGAAATGATGTATACTAAGGTAAACATAACTTGTACCGCAAAAAATGTTATGTTGAATCCATGATATTTTTGCCACTTATAAATTTGTGAAAAGGTAGTAATATTGATACTAAGCAAGAAAGGATATAAAGAACAGGTAATATAGATGTCAATATCTATCACAATTGACATACACTCTCAATATACATATATCACCTGTATTTCTATACTTAACTGATTTTTTCAGTCCAATAACAACACAGGACCTGGGCCAAGTGGGCCACCCAATCCAATGATGAGACCTCCCTTTGGTGTAAGTGTTTAATGTTATCAATTTTTATTGTTGTAAAATTTTATTCCTTCAAACTCAGGATTCCAAATCTAATTTGGGAGTTAAAACATACTCTCTAGGGACAACTGAATGCTTTGAAGCCATGAAATATACCCAGTATATAACCTACATAATGATTTAAATGTCTTTTCTAATTTGAAAAGGTAAATCACTTACAATCATTCAATATATTGTCATAATTTTAATTTTGTTTTCGTTTGAAAACATTAAAATTAAAAAGAAACACAAAACAAAAAAAGAAAATAACAAATTGTTTTTGATCGATATAAACCAACATGCCCTTAATCTTTATTTTACTCATTCTGGAGTTAAAATTTCTGGTATTCACTCAAAACTACAGTGGTTGCAATTTAGAATCTTGCACAATATATTAACTACAAACTCTTTCTTATTTAAAGCAAGATTAGTAAATAATCCTTTTTGTTCCTTCTGTAATTCTGATCGAGGAACTATAGTGCATCTGTTTTGGGAATGTGATGAAATTCAAAACTTATTTCAAAATCTAGATAGGGTTTTGGAGGCTTTATTTATACCCTTTACAGTAAATAAGCAAACAATACTTTTTGGCAAGATAAATAATAACAATAATGCCTTATACAAAGCAGACAATCAAGTCATTTTGGTGATAAAACAATATATATACAGAACTAGGCGTCTGCACAAGTCCCTGAATATAAGTGCACTTCTTTATTCTATATTTGACCGCTATAAGGTCCAGAAATATATCATTCATAGTAAGGAACAGACTGCTAAAGAAATTTTTTTTAATGATTGGAAAAACGGGAAAAATTAATTAAAATTTTAGAATGATTTTTTTGTAGGAATTTCAGAAATCGCCAGTCTCTGACAAAGTTCCATGTATAGTTTTTTGGTCTCTTATTATCACATACTATATACAAGTTAACAGTAACTACTATCCTTTCCCTTCCTCCATTTTCTTATCTATCCTCTCAAATCCCTTTTCTATCTGTCTATCTATCTATCTGTCTATCTGTCTGTCTGTCTGTCTGTCTGTCTGTTTTGTCTGTCCGTCTGTCTGTTAGTCAGTCTGTCTGTCTGTTGTTCCTTATCTATTTCCTTTTTAATGTATCAGTACAGTGAAATATATTTGAGTGAGGTATAAAAGTGTAAGAGTGGGAGTGAGGTGGAAGTGTGTACAAGTGAGATGTAAGAGTGTATGAATGAGGTGTAAAAGTGTATGAGTGAAATGTAAGGGTGAATGAGTTAAATGTAAGGGTGTATGAGTTAAATGTAAGGGTGTATGAGCTAAATGTAAGGGTGATTGAGTTAAATGTAAGGGTGTATGAGCTAAATGTAAGGGTGAATGAGTTAAATGTAAGGGTGTATGAGTTAAATGTAAGGGTGTATGAGCTAAATGTAAGGGTGTATGAGTAAGCATAAAAGGTAAATTGTATTATATGTGTACAACATATACCGAAAGCTCCTGTGGATGTGTCATGTTGTGGAAATAAATGGTGTCTAAGTGTCAAAATAAAAAAAAAGATAAAAAAAAATAATAATGGTGATGATGAAGATGATGGTTGCAGTAATAAAAAAGGCATGTTCATGATGATAAGGATGATAATAATGAAGATGATGATGATTGCATTAAAATGATGATGATGATGTTGTCATCATCCTCATGACTTAAGTGTGTGTGTGTGTGTGTGTGTGTGTGTGTGTGTGTGTGTGTGCGTGCGTGCGTGCGTGTACTGAAAAATCTTGGAAAAATAAAAAGAATTAAAGAAATTTAAAAAAAAATTCTGGTTTTCAGATAGAATGATCCCCATAGAAATATGATTTTAAAGTTTAGTTTCTGAAGTCTCTATGATTTTAATGTTGTGATTACTAGTGTACATAGAACTGATCATCAATCTCTTAATGACAGCGTAGATGAGAAAACCATGAATGAATATGTACAGACATGAATTGTACTTGAGTTGAAGTTAATGCTTATTCTAATGCTAATCCAAATTATCACAGAATCATCTTGCTGCTATTGAAACCAATGCTCATGACAATAAAGAGTTATTAATTCAACAATTATTCTCAACACTAAATTTTTTCTAGAGTTACATGTGTTTTCAAGGAGTAACTTCCTGATGGCTTAGCACTTTTTGAAGTAAGCGATTTACAAAGGTCATAACATTACTTTCCTTCTTCTTAGCAATGTTGATAAATCAAAGTTAATTACAGCAACATTTTTTATAGTTATTTTTCAGGTGGGTCCAGAATACAATTTTCAAAATTTCCATTACTTAGAGGTAAAGTGTCCCTCAATATTTGGGCCACAGAAAAGGCATGAGTCTTAGACACAAATGTGAATCCCATGTATTGAAGCTATTTGTTTGGCTCATTGTGATTGTCTCCTTTAGATGCCACCAGGATTTATACCACCACCTATGGGGGGACCAGAGATGAATCCCCCTCCCATGATACCACCAGGGATGCCACCTGGAGGTAAGTGGGTTATATATGACTCTTAATGAACTATGCAACAAACTGGAAATATTTTTGAAGTGTGTTTTTATCTGAGTTGAGTGGTGGAAATGGCTAATGTTGTTTTACCAAAAAAAAATAAGATAAAAAAGATTGAGGTGGTACTTAGTAAAGAAAATCTGTATAAAATGTTATTTGAAGTGTGGTTTTGGTTTATATTATAATGATAATGAAAGGGTGGATAATTGGAAGTGTACTGATGTTTCTCTATCTAATTCTCAAAACAGTCCAACAGATAAACATTTGTGTTCATTTTTTATGTGTCAAAATATATGATTTAGTTGATAGTACAAAGATCTCAGACAAAAAAGGCTTCAGTTCTTAGTAAGTGTAAACACAGTTATTACACCTCTTAACAAATCAACACAAGTAAAAATGGTCTTTTGTGCACTGATTATATCACATATGAGTCTTTTCAATGACCAGTCAGATTTATACCAGTTCAAAACTTTATAAGTTTGTTAATGCTCCTTGTTTTCAAAAGTAAATAATTGTATAATTTTGTTATAGGTTTCCCACCAGCAGGTTCCATTCCACCACCAAGATTTCCTCCCAATATGCCTCCAATGACTGGAAATATGCCTCCCATGTTTCCACCAGGTAAGATTTCACATAAGTGTGGTAGTATGTAAAGATATATTGTACAATTCTTAATTACAAATTATCATTTCAAGAAAAAATGATACATGACCTTAATAAATTTACCCTGTTTGTTGATTATCAAAATATTCTGATTTTTTTTCATAAGAAGAAAATATTTAATTCCTTACAGTTGATATTGAAATTGTTAGTTATCAAACAGTCTTTGTGTTTAGATAGATTTATTTTGATGTTTTACAGGACCAAACCCGCAGATTTCCAATTTGACACAGTCAGGTTCTGCTTCTAATTCTCCTATCCTAACAGATGGCAAATCAGACAAGGTAAATTAGAAGATAACTGACTGTAAAATGTGTAGATAAATGTTTATACGCTGTGTATCTGACAATAAACCATGCACTTAGACCCCAGGGCTAAATGCAGAGGTCATAACTGATTACTAATCTGTCAGTTTTGTTTACAAAACAGCTCTCTCTCCCTCCCCAAACTCCATTGACCCAACTTGCTTTCATTGTGATGTCCACATGTATATAACTCTTTTGTCCAATTAATGTACAATCATGTGTATGTTGATTCAAATAAGGAGAGACAATCTCAGTTTTTATCATAACTTTAAATTTATTAACAATTATGCCAATCATACTTCAACAACATAAACCTAGTACAGAGCATCCTCTCACCTCTCTTTGTTCTTACAAGTTCACATACATTAAATTATCAGCTGTCATGACCACATCAATGTTACACCAGTAGGAAATTTGTCCTTTATCATACTTCTGTGAAAATAGCTTGACCTCCGTATGAAGAAAATTCTTACCTCTTAAGATCACTCACATCATCGATGTCTACTCTTAGATGTAATGAAGTGTACATGTAATATCGTTTAAAGCAAAGAACAGAAATCCAATAGCACACTCCCTATCAACCTTCCATAGTTAAGCAGCAGTCTGAATCATTTCCACCTGCTGTATCCCGAAGTTCCATACTTAAGTTTAATCCTTCTATATAACAGCTAAGATAAGAAACTTCAGTCAAGTAAAGCATTACATTATATAAGTTGGTTTTTTATTAGCCCACCATCTATTGAAATAAATGGTGGGTTATTCAAATCGCCCTGCGCCCGTGGTCCGTCCGTCGTCCGTCCGTAAACAATTCTTGTTACCGCTATTTCTGGAAAAGTACTGGATGGATCTTTCTCAAATTTCATAAGCAGGTTCCCCTTGGTCCCTAGTTGTGCATTGTACCTTTTTTGAACTGATTCGCATTCAAGATGGCCGACAGGTGGCCATCTTGGATTTTGGAAGTAAAAGTTTGTTACCGCTATTTCTGGAAAAGTACTGGATGGATCTTTCTCAAATTTCATATGCAGTTTCCCCTTGGTCCCTAGTTGTGCATTGTACCTTTTTTGGACTGATTCGAATTCAAGATGGCCGACAGGTGGTCATCTTGGATTTTGGAAGTAAAAGTTTGTTACCGCTATTTCTGGAAAAGTACTGGATGGATCTTTCTCAAATTTCATATGCAGTTTCCCCTTGGTCCCTAGTTGTGCATTGTACCTTTTTTGGACTGATTCGAATTCAAGATGGCCGACAGGTGGCCATCTTGGATTTTGGAAGTAAAACTTTGTTACTGCTATTTCTGAGAAAGTACTGGATGGATCTTCCTCAAATTTCATATGCAGTTTCCCCTTAGTCCCTAGTTGTGCATTGTACCTTTTTTGGACTGATTCGAATTCAAGATGGCAGACAGGCAGCCATCTTGGATTTTGGAAGTAAAAGTTTGTTACTGCTATTTCTTGGAAAGTACTGGATGGATCTTTCTCAAATTTCATATGCAGTTTCCCCTTAGTCCCTAGTTGTGCATTGTACCTTTTTTGGACAGATTCGAATTCAAGATGGCCGACAGGTGGCCATCTTGGATTTTGGATGTAAAACTTTGTTACTGCTATTTCTTGGAAAGTACTGGATGGATCTTTCTCAAATTCCATATGCAGTTTCCCCTTGGTCCCTAGTTGTGCATTGTACCTTTTTTGGACAGATTCGAATTCAAGATGGCGGACAGGTTGCCATCTTGGATTTTGGATGTAAAACTTTGTTACTGCTATTTCTTGGAAAGTACTGGATGGATCTTTCTCAAATTCCATATGCAGTTTCCCCTTGGTCCCTAGTTGTGCATTGTACCTTTATTGGACTGATTCGAATTCAAGATGGCCGACAGGTGGCCATCTTGGATTTTGGATGTAAAACTTTGTTACCGCTATTTCTTGGAAAGTACTGGATGGATCTTTCTCAAATTTTATATGCAGGTTCCCCTTTTTCCCTAGTTGTGCATTGTACCTTTTTTGGACTGATTCGAATTCAAGATGGCCGACAGGTGGCCATCTTGGATTTTGGATGTAAAAGTTTGTTACTGCTATTTATTGGAAAGTACTGAATGGATCTTTCTCAAATTTCATATGCAGGTTCCCTTTGGTTCCAAGTTGTGCATTATACCTTTTTGGACTGATCTGAAATCAAGATGGCTGACAGGCAGCCATCTTGGATTTTAAGAGTAAAATCTTGTTACTGCTATATCTGAGGAAGTACTGGATGGATCCTTCTGATATTTCATAGATATTGGTTTCCCTTGGTCCCTAGTTGTGCATTGTACCTTTTTTGGACTGATTTGAAATCAAGGTGGCCCACAGGCAGCCATCTTGGATGTCGACAGTAATACAGCACAAGCATATTGTCCATTATCCACCTGTAACTGACTGCTATCTAATAATACTTTGGGATCTTTTTCAAATGATATTTGCTAACAGGTGCTTAATAGAAATATCTTGTGCCATCATTGAGTACATTCAATGAAGACCAGTTCATGAACATTTACAACACCTGCAACACACAAAAAAAAATAAACAAATCATCAAGAACTGAAAACAGATCCTCAAATGGTGGGCGCCAAGATCCCTCTGGGATCTCTTGTATATATAAAAATAATGAATTGCATTAAAACATTGGAGATTTATTTTATTCTTTATTTTTTTATCTTCAATCTATCATATATGGCCGATGACTCTAAATATACTTATGTGAAGGGAGGTAATCCAATATGGTGGACAGAGAACTTGAGAATGATAACCCCTAGAATGGCATGTTCCTGCGTATAATATGCACCCCCTTTTTCACATGACAGTTTTTTCCAAAAAAGTGTGCACTATAAGGTTGATAAGGTAAATAACTATATGTATGAATTCAAACTTTAAATTATTGCTAATAAACTCAAACTTATATGACATAAATATTATTTTGAGTACATTTTGTATCACATTATGTACAGTACATTTGTGCATATTCCTAATACATGAAAACATAAGGATGAGCTCTATGATTAACACTTATGTTTGCTATCTATTTCATATACATATTTAGTATGCAGTTCTGGAAATGTTAAGATACACAAACAAGATTTTTAGGTCGCCTGAGCTGAAGGCTCATGGTGACCAATTGCCATCATGATTTGTCTGTCGTCGTGCGTTGTGCGTTATTAACTTTTCACAAATTCGACTTCTTCTCAAGAACCACTGAATGGATTTTGACCAAACTTGGCACAAAGCATCCATGGGAAGCTGCTTCAAGTTTGCGAAAAATAGGGGCCCCAGGAGGGGGGAATAGGGGGTAAAATTAGGTAAATCTTTAAAAATCTTCTTCTCATGAACCAACAGTCAGATTAAATTCATATTTGATATTTAGGGTCCTTATGACAAGGTCTACAATGAAAAAAAAATCGGGTCAAAAACAGCCCCACTAGGGGGCGCTCAAAAGGGTCAAAAATTCAACTTTGACCGATTTCAACCAAATTTGGTAGACAGCATCCCTTAGTGAAGGACATGAAATTATGTTGAAAAAGTGATAATGTCCCCTTTAGGGCCCATAAGGAGTGTAAAAGGGGCCATATGTAAAAACCTTCATTAAATGACTACTTTTCAAGAACCAGTGGATGGGTTTTGACCAAACTTGGCACAAAGCATTGGCTTTAAGTTTGTGAAGAAAAAGGGCGTGGCCCCAATAGGGGCCCCAGGAGGGGGAAAAAGGGGAAACTTGATACGAATGTTCTACACAAGGTCCTTGCAAGGGTTTTAACTTTTTGGGGCGATTCAAAATCTAAGATGGCTACCCTGGCCTCTGTTTGGCTAAGACATTTTGGACTTCCTCTCAAGAACCATTGGGTGGATCATGTTCAAACTAGGTACAGATGTTTTACACACGGTCCTGCACAAGAGTTGTTACATTTTTGCAACATTTTAAAATACCCATATTATTGACATATATTCCTCAGGTGACCGTTAAGGCCCCTTGGGCCTCTTGTTTATATTATTTGAAATGAGGCAAAAACTTCAATATATGTAGTCATTAGATTGTCTAAACTGGGGTAAAAACATATCATATGTATTAAGATTAATCAAAAACACTGAACTATTTTTGTGTTGAATATATTTTATAATGATGTGTATGGTTAAAGTAAATATCTGCCTTAGAAGCCGTTATGGACAGAACACAAGGCACCTGATGGCAGGACTTACTACTACAATAACATGACCAAACAGTCCAGCTGGGAGAAGCCTGATGACATGAAATCCAAGGCCGAGGTAAGTATCCTTTTGACACCTTTACTAATTGTAAAAGTGTCAACCTTCTCACTTATTGTAAAATTGTAAACCTTCTCACTTATTGTAGAAGTGTAAACCTTCTTACTTATTGTAGAAGTGTAAACCTTCTTACTTATTGTAGAAGTGTAAACCTTCTCACTTATTGTAGAAGTGTAAACCTTCTCACTTATTGTAGAAGTGTAAACCTTCTTACTTATTGTAGAAGTGTAAACTTTCTCACTTATTGTAGAAGTGTAAACCTTCTCACTTATTGTAGAAGTGTAAACCTTCTCACTTATTGTAGAAGTGTAACCCTTCTCACTTATTGTAGAAGTGTAACCCTTCTCACTTATTGTAGAAGTGTAACCCTTCTCACTTATTGTAGAAGTGTAAACCTTCTCACTCATTGTAGAAGTGTAAACCTTCTCACTTATTGTAGAAGTGTAAACCTTCTCACTCATTGTAGAAGTGTAAACCTTCTCACTTATTGTAGAAGTGTAAACCTTCTCACTCATTGTAGAAGTGTAAACCTTCTCACTCATTGTAGAAGTGTAAACCTTCTCACTTATTGTAGAAGTGTAAACCTTCTCACTCATTGTAGAAGTGTAAACCTTCTCACTTATTGTAGAAGTGTAAACCTTCTCACTCATTGTAGAAGTGTAAACCTTCTCACTTATTGTAGAAGTGTAAACCTTCTCACTCATTGTAGAAGTGTAAACCTTCTCACTTATTGTAGAAGTGTAAACCTTCTCACTCATTGTAGAAGTGTAAACCTTCTCACTTATTGTAGAAGTGTAACCCTTCTCACTTACTGTAGAAGTGTAAACCTTCTCACTTATTGTAGAAGTGTAAACCTTCTCACTTATTGTAGAAGTGTAACCTTCTCACTTATTGTAGAAGTGTAACCCTTCTCACTTATTGTAGAAGTGTAACCCTTCTCACTTATTGTAGAAGTGTAAACCTTCTCACTTATTGTAGAAGTGTAAACCTTCTCACTCATTGTAGAAGTGTAAACCTTCTCACTTACTGTAGAAGTGTAAACCTTCTCACTTATTGTAAAAGTGTAAACCTTCTCACTCATTGTAGAAGTGTAAACCTTCTCACTTATTGTAAAAGTGTAAACCTTCTCACTAATTGTAGAAGTGTAAACTTTCTCACTAATTGTAGAAATGTAAACCTTTTCACTACAGTGAAACCTTACCTAACCACCACCTCAAAATTACCACCACCCTGCTATTACGGGCACCTTTTTTTCAGTCCCATTTTTTTCCACTATATATCTTTGTATTGGTCGCTTCAGTATTACGACCACCCTGTTATTGCGTATTACGACAACTTCTTACAGTCCCAACGACCACCAATTAACGATAATTGACCTCACAATTACGACCAAGTTCTGACCAGTGATTAAAGTTTACCTGGTGGGCAGTGAACCGCGGGCATGTGTGTCGTTCTTGACCATTGTTTTTGTCACAGGTTTCCAACCCTCTCACCTGGTGGCATTACACGAAGTAAACATCATTATCAGATTAATTTGTGTGAAAATGCATGCCAGGCACGTTTTAGTAGCGATCTATTGTTGGTTAATTATGTATTGATAGATTAGTAGGTATGCTGTTAAACACCTGAATTATGTAATCTTTTCGGTCGCACATGCTCATGTTTGAACAATAAAAAACATGTGTATGTTCCAAATTTTTTACAACATATTTTTACTGTCACAAAGCTGAGATGAACTTTATCAAGCAATGATGAAACCATGTAAACGAAATGAGATATGGCTAAATTGGACTTATGGAAGAGGGGACTGTCAAGATTCATAGCCCTTCACAACATTGTGCACTGGACTCTTTTTTTTTCAGTAAAATGACAAATGTGTTGTACTGAGTGATACACTGACAGAGTTAATGTTTGCGAATTTATGTGAAAAATGAAGTGTTGAAAGACTTTATAGGGACTTCATTAATGTTGTTACAAATACCGAGTAAATGTGTTTGTAAATTTATGTGAAAAAAAAAATGAAAAATTAAGGTTAGATTCCTATTGAATATAAAATTGACTGTTTGTTTTCTTTTATTCAATGTTTACAATAGTAAATATACATGTATATTATGATATAAACTAGGGAATATATATATATTCTTTTGTCTATTCACCAATTTTATCTTTTCTACACGCATTTCATAAAATTCAACATTTTATATACAGTTTAGTTATAATTGCTGATTAATATACATGTACATTACTTAATGATATATATATAGAGTCTTTATTATAAACAGAGTTACAGTTCTTGGCGGTCAATCTGATCCACCTCACTATTAAGACCACCTCGCTTTTAAGTAAAATTGTCAACCTTCTCACTAACCAGGCAATATATATTTATTTTGTCTAATTTTTAACGTAATCCAGCGGGAAATGTTTATCTATTGTACATCATGTGATCATAACAATTGATATGTTGAAACGTAAATTACAATTTAGCTCTCCTTTTCTCAATGTAAACCTACCAACCAGTACCACCCACGGGAAGTTTGGATTCCTCTACCCTTTTGTACTTTTCCACTTTGTGTCTGTGGAGATTCACGGCATCCTTTACAGATCAGGAACACAACCAACTATTTCAAGGTTCCGTTTACTTTATCAGAAACAAACCCTTAGAAAAGAGCTAGAATGAACTCCTCTCCGTCCTAATCGGAACAGACTGACCCAAATGGCAGAGATGAAACCAGTTTCACCATTAGGGTGTCGGAAAATTGTTGCACCGTATCTACAGGGGTCTGGAAAAATATTTTAAACCACTAGGCACAGGACTGGTGGAATGAACAACTCGTCCGGATTGGAATTTTACTCGTCCAAATTCAGCTATGAAATGGGAACTTAATCAGCAAGGATGTGACATGTGACTTTTTATTTTGCTATTCTTAATTTGAAGTTTTAGTGGAAAAAAAACTATGCAATGATGGCTGATTTGCATTAGACATTGTGCTCGACTTAGGTCTAGTCGTAGTGTTTGTTTACATCCGACTGACCAGATGCTGTTAAGAACATGAGCACCTGACATCAGTATGACCATGGGAAAATGACTAAGGTATTCCGAATGCTATATTTGACTTCATGGGAGTTCCTGTGTAATCAAAAGTTAGAGAGCAGACCGGAATATTTTGTTTTCGAAGTACCGTAAACACGTTTCTTTGTTTTTATATTTTCTTTACATTTTTATTGAAATTTAAGTTGTAACATTAATATCATTGGTAAAAAGTACCTGTCTGACGGACGACTGACAAAGATAAATCTGGTTGTCAGACACAATTTTCACTCGTCCATGACGACTGGACGAGTCCTTTTCCGGAACCCTGTATCTAAGAGAGAAAACTGTGTTAGTTTACAGTGTGTATGGCATTTTGACTCTGTGAAAATTTAAAGATAACTAACACTATTTTAAACCCGTCAATACATATTTATTTTGTCTGATAATTTTATGTAATCCAGCTGGAAATGTTTAACTGTTGTACATCACATGATCTTAACAATTAATATTTTGAACCATGATTTACACTTTAGCTCTCCCTTTCTCAATGTGAAATTGTTCTGAAGATGATTGACCTAGTCAACCGAAACATGTCAACAAATAAAATTTAAGTTACTCCACAATAAAGAAACCATCACGACCTAAGAGATTATATGATAAGGCCAATTTCTCAAAAATTAACAAGGAAATAGGAGAATTTGATTGGAACACTCACTTTAAACCAAACGATGTAAATTACAGTTGGGAAATATTTTACAACAAAATTATGGAGGTTGAGGAAAGATATGTACTGGTGAAAATACCAAAACCAACACATGCCAAACATGATTACCCGATCAACAGTGAAATAAAAGAAATCACCAGGAAGAAACACTCCCTCGGAAAGAAAGCAATAAACGGTGGCGAGTATGCTAGGAAAGAATACTGCAGAATAAGAAACAAAGTAAGGAAAATCACGAGGAAATTAAGTAAAAACTTCGAAGACAAATTATCAACAGAGGCTAAATAAAATCCAAAGGCTATTTGGAGATATATCAGATCGAAGTCGAAAACTAAAGCTGAAATGGGAGACTTGTATACAGAACCTGGTAATAAACAATCATATAAAGAACAAAATGATAAGGTTAAGGCAAATATATTAAACTCTTCTTTTAAAAATGTGTTTGTTACAGAACCGGACGCAGAAATGGAAATCTTTACTCTTCCTTCTAAAAAAATACGTTACCCGATGTGTTCAATGATAGTAGACCGGGACTCCATTTTTAAAGAACTTCTAAAGTTAAAAGCCGACAAATCTCCAGGAATGGATATGTTACATCCACTGTTTCTTAAGAAAACTGCAGAAGCAATCACGGCGCCATTAGCAATTTTGTTCTCGATCTCCTTGAGGTCCGGCACAGTTCCAAATGAGTGGAAAAGGGCAAAAATAACAGCAATCTTTAAGAAGGGGGACAAATGCAAACCAGGAAATTACAGACCTGTGAGCTTAACTTCAATTGTGTGCAAAGTACTTGAATCTTTAATAAGAAGTCACATCACTGATTAAATAAAACAAAACTATTTTTTCTATAAGAAACAGTTCGGATTCATGTCTGGCAGGTCTATGTCACTGCAACTACTGAAAGTTTTGGATGAGTGGACTGATCATATGGATAATGGACACTCAATCGATTGTATCTATATGGATTTTCAAAAAGCATTTGATACAGTGCCACACAAAAGACTTTTAGGTAAAATGGAGTCATATGGAATTAGCGAGGAGATTGTAAAATGGATGGCGAGTTTCATTTTAAACAGGAAGCAAAGAGTCTCGTTAAAGGATCAAAACTCTGACTGGAGCGAGGTGTCTTTGGGAGTTCCCCAGGGATCTGTTCTTGGACCTACACTGTTCGTCATATTTATTAATGACTTGCTGGAAACAATACAGTCTGAAGCATATCTTTTCTACATTTTTTTTACTAAATTGTTCAGAAGCATAAAAGAAAATACCGATGTGAATGTACTTCAAGATGATCTGGATCGCCTTTCAGCTTGGAGTGAAAAATGGTTATTAAAATTTCATCCTCAAAAATGTAAACTTTTGCGTATTGGCAGGCAAAGTGGAGACATAAAATATTATTTAAACAAGGAAGAATTACAGGAAGTCTACCAAGAAAAAGATATAGGAGTAATTGTAGACAATTCTTTATCATTTGATGAACAAATGAGTACACAGGTCAAAAAACCAAACTCTATGTTTGCACTAATAAGGAGAATGTTTCAATTTCTCAATGAACATAACTTCCCATTATTGTACAAAACAATAGTTAGGGTTCATCTGGAACATTCAAAACAATTATCAGGATTTAAGGAACTGACTTATTCGGAAAGACTGAAACGCCTAAAATTACCAACATTGGCATTCAGGAGGATTCCACACACAGGCTGTTGGACTCTTCTACCAATACACCTACCAACCAGTACCACACACAGGTCGTTGGACTCCTCTACCAATACTCCTACCAACCAGTACCATACACAGGCCGTTGGACTCCTCTACCAATACTCCTACCAACCAGTACCACACACAGGCCGTTGGACTCCTCTACCGATACGTCTACCAACCAGTACCACACACAGGACATTGGACTCCTCTACCAATACTCCTAACAACCAGTACCACCCACAGGACATTGGACTCCTCTATCGATATACCTACCAACCAGTACCACCCACATCACGTTGGACTCCTCCACCAATACTCCTACCAACCAGTACCACCCACAGGACGTTGGACTCCTCTACCAATACTCCTACCAACCAGTACCACCCACAGGATGTTGGACTCCTCTACCGATACGTCTACCAACCAGAACCACCCACAGGACGTAGGACTCCACCAACCATTTGTACTTTTCCACTTCTCACTAATTGTAAAAGTGTAAACCTTCTTAATAATTGAAATTTTGATTAAGAATATTGACATTCTCTTTTTTGATTGGTAGTTACAACTGTCCCAGTGTCCGTGGAAGGAGTATAAGTCAGATACAGGGAAAGTGTATTACCACAATGCCCTCACTAAAGAATCCAAGTGGACAAAGCCCAAGGATTTAGAGGAACTAGAAGGTCAGTGTTCACATTTAGTTGCCTGGAAATGAGATATGGCTGTGTATCAACTGGACTATTGTAGATATATTTATTTCCAAAATAAGGCAAATTACAAAATACAATGTACTTGCATAAATTGTAATGCTCAGTTTCTATTAGGTTGTGATAATCAGAACCAAGTACAGCTGAAACTGGTTATCTCGAAATTCAAGGATCCATGGAAAATACTTAGACTTATCCGTATTTTGACTCTAACAAAGTGTCTAAATGAGATTGACGATAGCAGTTTCCTGACGTTAATTTCTGTTGAGTAAAGATGGGCACGCAAACAGCAAAGTTTAATCTAAAATTTGAAATTGCAGTAAATTAACAAATGAATTTCTCCTATTTACTGAAATGGAATTTCGACTCAAGTGATTTTGAGACAACAGGTTTCAACTGTACTTTGCTGAAAAAAATTTTCTTGTTTTTGCTGATGACAGAAAAGTTACTTAATGCCACATTGAAACTTAACATATCTTTAGCATGAATAGCATAAATTCTCCTGAAAAGCTTGATTATGCACAAGATTCTATTCCTGTTCACAAAGATTAATGTTAATTTGCTATCACTCGCCATTGTTATATTAAAAGTATGTCCCTTGATTTTCAGAAATTGTTAAAGGTGAAGCAAAGTAAGTATCTTCATTCCATTCTACACAACATCTATATATTTTCATTATGCTTTTATAACTTGACATTTTAAATCATTTTGTTGATTTATTTGTATTATAAGTTCTCTGTCAGCCCTTGGTGGAAACATTTTTTCGGAAACCAATCTCATTAGGAGAGTGTCAGTATTCAACAGTATTTGGTCAAACTGAACACTTATTCTGCAAGTTCCTTTTAAATTTTGTGATACTTTTAAACATGTAAATGTTTTTGAAATTTTTTTCATGGTCTACATCCATAAATATTATTACATTTGTAAAAACATCTTTTCATCTCAAGTCTGATTTTTCAATTTTATTTTTGTGGTGTTTTTTAATAGCTAAGATCAACAAAAGTTTTGACAAAATAAATATTTAAGTTATTGATTAATTACAAAGAGAAACAATCTACCCAATTTCTCTGATATATTCCTTCATAGAATAAAAGCAATGTTCTATATTCTCTTGTATCCTGTAGAAAGAAGACTGACGCCCCAAGAACAGCAACACCACCTGTGTCAGCTGCTCCACCAGCAGGGATAACTCTACCAGCCCAGCCCTCCAAACCTTCGTCAGCCATCCAAGCAGCAATGGAGGCAACTTTAGCTTCTATAGAACTCCCACCACCCTCAGGGACAGCTGTAGTAGCACCGCCACAAGAGAAATCAGACAAAGTTGATAGTGCTGATGAAAGCGAGGAAGAAAAACCTGCTAAAAAAGAAGTGGTTCCCTTGGTGTTTAAGAGTAGGAAGGAAGCCATGGAAGCATTCAAGGCTCTGCTAAGAGAAAAGGTGGGTAGCTGTTCAGACAGGATGACATATGTTTTCTTCTTGGGGTAGAATTTTCTTTTCTCTGCAATAATAGCATTTTTCTGTACAGTAATACCAATCCATACCATATGTGTAAACACTTACTGTGCATATGAAGAGTTTTATCTAATTATTCATGGGTTTTGAATGTAAATTGAATGAAAATGGTCATGTGTGGATTTAAGTTTAACTTTTAAAATACTTCATTTATTTACAGTCTGTGTCCTCCACTGCCTCGTGGGAGCAAGCCATGAAGGTCATCGTCAATGACCCACGCTATGGGGCCCTCAAGCAGCTCAACGAACGAAAGCAGGCCTTCAATGAATACAAAACACAGCGAGTGAAGGAAGAAAAGGTCTGTTCAATCATGTTACATTTCAGATTATCTGTTGGATTTTTTACATAGATCAAGTGCCGACAAATTTTCATTTTTCTGTCTCTAGTATAATTTGTACTCGTCTAGTGTTGTGATTTTAAAAATAGAAATAATAAGTAGGATAGTTTACATAATTACTTTCAGTGTTAAGGTGTCAGCACGGATAATATTTGTCAATATCGATACAACTGAATATTGTTAAAATTCAAGAGTTTTTAGTACATGATGAAGTCAATTATTTGATACAAGACTGTGTTGATTGGTTGAACTGAAGGTCGGACAATAAAGAATTTCATAGACTATTTAAACAAACAAGTACAAATACAAATTTTAAATGTTATAAGTAAATCTAACTATCATTCATTAGATATCTGAAGTGCATTCATACTAAACAGTTAAGTGTTTTCTTTTTTTTTTAATCATTTTAGGAGGAACAACGATTACGAGCTAAACAAGCCAAAGAGGACCTGGAACAATTTTTATTACATAGTGACAAGATGAATTCAAGCATTAAATATTGGTAAGCTATGTTAGAAAAGATAAGAAGGATATTGGTTGATATGAATGATGAAGACTTCAATGGGTAGAGCGTTGGGCTTTTCAATTTCAGGCGAAGATTTTCAGTGTTTCGTTTGAGGTATACTACTCGCAGTGGTTGTGTTTAATAGCAAGCTGAGAGACAGTCTGGTCTGTGCTGACATGGCTTTGTCCTGGGCAAGACATTTACCTTAATTGCTCTCGATGGCACGTAACACACCTCCCATATGTTAGTTAGGGTAGTAACATCTAGCTGCTTCAATGAGTCTCTCCCTCAAATAACCCTGGCTGTTCATGGGGAGACAAAGCTAACAAAACAATGAAGCTTTCAGAACTGATCATTTTTCAAGGATAGTAACAAAACTGGTTAATATATCCTGTTGGTTAATTGTTCTCTAAAAAGCCTGAGGTTTATGTACTCCACAGGAAGGCTGATGACATGTTTGGTGGTGAAGAGGTCTGGAAGGTGGTACATGATCGTGATCGCCGGGAGCTGTTTGATGATGTAACTCACATGTTGGCTAAGAAAGAAAAGGTATGCAGTGATCAATAGAAATCCTGTGTTGAAAACACCTTTTATATAATTGTGTCCATTAGCCATCTCTAGTTTCAAGAAAAAGCTAGTGTAGAGATGAAATAAAAAGCAATAAATTTTATCTCCATGATTTATCTCATTTAAAAACACAAAACAAAAATTCACTTTGTCAACAGGAAGAATCCAAGACATTACGTAAGCGGAACACCAAGGTGTTTGCAGAGATCCTGGACAGCATGCCAAGTCTGACAAACTGTACCACCTGGTCGGAGGCCCAGCAGATGTTACTGGACAACCCACGCTTTACTGATGACCCTGACCTACACAGTACGCAAGTCAAAACATTTTCTTATCATGATTTTTACTTCAAATATGCTGCTTACTATCGAAGTGAAAGTAATTGGAAATTATTATCCCCTTGGAAAAAGTTTTGGAGAGATTTTCCATACATATGTTAAGTGGATGTGTTAAGTCCATGATTCCCGAGTGAAATTATATCTCGTATACAGATATGTAAATGTTGATACTCTATGATATATGTGATTAACAGTGGTCAGTGATACTCATGTGATACTCATGTGATCCACAGTGGTCAGTGAAACTCATGTGATACTCATGTGATCAGTGATACTCATGTGATGCTCGTGTGATCCACAGTGGTCAGTGATTCTCATGTGATACTCATGTGATCCACAGTGGTCAGTGATACTCATGTGATACTCATGTGATCCACAGTGGTCAGTGATACTCATGTGATACTCATGTGATCCACAGTGGTCAGTGATACTCATGTGATACTCATGTGATCCACAGTGGTCAGTGATACTCATGTGATACTCATGTGATCCACAGTGGTCAGTGATACTCATGTGATCCACAGTGGTCAATGATACTCATGTGATACTCATGTGATCCACAGTGGTCAGTGATACTCATGTGATACTCATGTGATCAGTGATACTCATGTGATACTCATGTGATCCACAGTGGTCAGTGATACTCATGTGATACTCATGTGATCCACAGTGGTCAGTGATACCCATTGATTTTATATAGATATGGACAAAGAAGATGCTTTGGTTTGTTTTGAGGACCACATCCGTATGTTGGAACAGGAATTTGATGATGAGAAGGAGAGAGAAAGACGACGAGTTAAACGTCAACAACGGAAAAATAGAGAGGGATTTCTGGTAAAATTTGATTTAATTTTTGTTTTCTCTTGCTTTAAGAAATGGAAGTTTTAGAATCAAAAGATGATTTGAAAATGTTTCAGTTTAATACAAAATTACAATTATACATTATTTAAGAATTTAATTTCAGGTGTTATTAGATGAACTCCATGAACAAGCAAAGCTTAACTCTATGTCTCTCTGGATGGATCTGTACCCTGTTATTAGCCAGGATGTTCGATTTACCAACATGCTTGGACAGCCAGGATCAACACCACTAGATCTATTCAAATTCTATGTTGAAGATCTCAAAGCTAGGTTTCATGATGAGAAGAAGGTTGTCAAGGAAATTCTGCGAGACAGAGGCTTTTTGGTGGAGGTATCAACAACATACGAGGAATTTGCTTCTGCTATTGTCTTGGATAAGCGATCTGCTGGACTGGACACAGGAAACATCAAATTAACTTATAACAGTGTAAGAAAACATCAAGTTAACTTATAGCGCTGTAGGTAGATACAGGAAATATCAAATTTACTTATAATAGTGTAGGTAGATACAGGAAATATCAAATTTACTTATAGCAGTGTAGGTAGACACAGGAATCATCAAATTTACTGATAATAGTGTAGGTAGACACAGGAAACATCAAATTAACTTATAACAGTGTAAGAAAACATCAAGTTAACTTATAGCGCTGTAGGTAGGTACAGGAAATATCAAATTTACTTATAATAGTGTAGGTAGATACAGGAAAATATCAAATTTACTTATAGCAGTGTAGGTAGACACAGGAATCATCAAATTTACTGATAATAGTGTAGGTAGACACAGGAAACATCAAATTTACTTATAGCAATGTAGGTAGATACAGGAAATATCAAATTTACTTATAGCAGTGTAGGTAGACAGAGGGAACTTCAAATTTACTTAAAGCAGTGTAGGTAGACACAGGAAACATCAAATTTACTCTTAACCATTTAGGTAGACACAGGAAACATCAAATTTACTTATAGCAGTGTAGGTAGACACTGGAAACATCAAAGTTACTTATAGCAGTGGAGGTAGACACTGGAAACATCAAATTTACTAATAATAGTGTAGGTAGACACAGGAAACATCAAATTTACTAATAATAGTGTAGGTAGACACAGGAAACATCAAATTTACTCTTAACCATTTAGGTAGACACAGGAAACATCAAATTTACTAATAATAGTGTAGGTAGACACTGGAAACATCAAATTTACTTATAGCAGTGTAGGTAGACACAGGGAACTTCAAATTTACTTAAAGCAGTGTAGGTAGACACAGGAAACATTAAATTTACTTCTAGCAGTGTAGGTAGACACAGGAAATATCAAATTTACGTATAACAGTGTAGGTAGACACAGGAAATATCAAATTTACGTATTACAGTGTAGGTAGACACAGGAAACTTCAAATTTACTTCTAGCAGTGTAGGTAGACACAGGATACATCAAATTTACTGATAATAGTGTATGTAGACGCAGAAAACATTAGATTAACTGACAACAGTGTAGGTATATACAGGAAACGTCAAATTTACTTCTAGCAGTGTAGGTAGACACAGGAAATATCAAATTTACGTATAACAGTGTAGGTAGACACAGGAAATATCAAATTTACTTCTACCAGTGTAGGTAGATACAGGAAAGATCAAAGTTACTTCTAGCAGTGTAGGCAGACACAGGAAACATCAAATTTACTGATAATAGTGTATGTAGACGCAGAAAACATTAGATTAACTGACAACAGTGTAGGTATTTACAGGAAACGTCAAATTTACTTCTAGCAGTGTAGGTAGTCTCAGGAAATATCAAATTGCCTTATATCAGTGTAGGTAGACACAGGAAACATCAAATTTACTGATAATAGTGTAGGTAGACACAGGAAACATCAAATTTACTGATAATAGTGTAGGTAGACACAGGAAACATAAAATTTACTTATAACAGTGTAGGTAGACACAGGAAACATCAAATTAACTTATAACACTGTATATAGACATAGTGATTTAATTAAATGAATGTCAATATTCTTTTGGTATAAAGTTTGTTTTGATAATAGATTACCTCATAAATTTGCATGATGTGTTATATACTTGTCACTCATCACTTAAAATAAAGGTGTCTGTTAATACATTTTGTGACATATGATATTCATTTTAAGTGTTATTTTTTCCTGTTTAACTTGTTTGCTTTAAAAAACCTTAATAGTACATTAAATGATAGACCAGCTCATGCACTAATTAATCATCTAGATATTTATTCCCTTGTTTAACTCAGGGTATATAATTTGTGGAATTGACCTTAAATATAGGATTACCTTTATTCTGTTATCCTCCTAGATGTCTTTGATTGATTTCTGTTGATCTAAGATAGAGGGAAATATATCTGTAATTGATATATTGACATATTGCCACCAGCTCATTTATGTTCTGTTAATCAATAAGACAGCTTGTATTACTTTCTCAAGTTGATAGAGAAAGCTGAAGCCAGGGAGAGGGAGAGGTTGAAGGAGGAGGCCAGAAAGGTAGATAAATTGCATTTATATATTGTGTATCACCTTTTGATTAATTCGAAGTCAGTATGATATTTTCAAGTAAAGTGGGATTTGCAATTTAACCATAAATAAAATCAATTTTTTTTGGTGTTTCCAAAAGTTGCTTTTTTGTGAGCAATTGATTTTGTGGATGAATATAGCTCAATAAATCTACTTCTATGTAATTTAACATGGACAGATAAATTTATGGATTAAGAGAACAAGGATATCAATAAAAATACCCACCCACCCCCACAAAAAGGAATGTTGTCACTGTTGTTATACAGCTGCTGCATTACTTTGTATTTTGACCACAAGTTTTTTTGGGGGACTTATGTTATTTTAGAGAGTTACAACTTGGATTGCAAAGCATTTGCTGTACTATATAATTCTATGGAGTTATGGTACAAGTTGTTCAATCATGAAAGGAATTGCACTGTTGTTGTTTTTACAAGGGATTTATGAGACAATGTATTTATATAAACAGATAAGAGACAGGCTTACTATTACATCAGATTTGCTGAATGTGTTTTCTGTGCTGTCATACTTAACATTTTCTTGTTCAGTTACGAAAGCTGGAGGGAAATTTCAAGACCATGTTGAAGAATTTGAACCCACCAATTGAAGTTGAACACCGCTGGGAGGAGGTGAGATATTAGATTTGTTCAAGTGATCATGAAGATGTCTCTCACTTCTAGCAAAATGATGGAAGAACAGAAGTGATACTGTTCTCCTTCATCTTACAGTGATAAATTAATCAAGCAATATATAGGTAATATATTCTAAAGATTTCTCAATGTTTAAACTCCTGCTGACTTTCCTCCTGTGTATAGGTACGGTCACGTATCGAGAAGGAAGCAGCATATGAGGCCATTACTCTGGAGGCAGAAAGGATCCGATTGTATAAAGAATTTATCATTGTTCTAGAGGAAACATGTTATCATCAACACTCAAAAAAGAAAAAATCTAAAAAACACAAAAACAAACGGTCGCGTTCAAGATCCAAATCTGTAAGTATAGCAGTTTTATGACAAATATATGAGGAATAAGATAACATTCCACCTGTATGTCCAAAAAGCAACTTAATTTTGATTGAAATTCATGAATTTTGTTCAAGTATAAGTCGTATGAGGTAGTATTTCATGTTTCTTAGTTTATGAGATCAGCTATAGAGAATCTCCAAGGTCAGATTATTTGTGCTTATTTTGTATATGATACATTGCCATATTGACGCTCAAAATATCAACAACAACAAAATTCTATTATGTTGTCCGCCATTTCAGCCAATCAGTGAATCAGATGAAGAACAGCAGACCTCACGACACAAATCAAAGAAGAAGAAAAAGTCACGATCAGAATCCAGGTCAAGGTCGCCTAGCTATATATCAGATTCAGGTAAGTCAACTGTAATTGCATTTCATCAAAATATTGTGTACCTTTTTCCTTTTACTTTGATTTGGTTATAATTTTTTTAATGTTTCATTTATTACTTCTGTGCTGTATGTGTTTATTTCTTTATCATATGTTATTTTGGTATAAGTCATACTCATTGGAAACTTTCATTGCTAAGGGGGTTGCAATAGCTGAATCAGTACAGTTCTGATGTAGTTGTGTCCTTTAATTTTTCCTTAGTTGCTGTGCATACAATGAGTCTCCTGTATGTTGTTCAGTTAGGAATCGCCAGCTACTGCAAGGCAATCCTGCCTCAAAATGTCCCTTGTTCTTGAAGGATTTATGGACCCAGCAAACAAATTTGCTTCCTCATTTTAGACTATTTCATATATCACATATAATTTTGTTTTAAAAATGATACCTGTTTGTTGTTCTAACTGTTCCCAAATGGATAAGCACCACAAATAGATGATACATATCTAGTGTGTGTTAATACATTCCCAGTCTTACCCATGCTGGTCCTGCCTAGTTTTATATGCGGATAAGAATACTTTGAATGAGTCCGAGTTCTAAGGTAATAGTCACTTTATATTATTGGAAACTTGTGGAGCAAACAAGTTTAATTACAAGGAAACATCAGTATTCAGGGATGTTCTGATTTTTGTCCAGTACATATTTTGAAGTCATACTAGAAGTATTTATTTGGAAATAAAGATTTTTTTTATTTGAGTTTATTTCAGTGGTAGATTTTTATATTTATCCCCAACAAAGTTATGCATGGGATATACTTATACAAATGGATTCTGTCTGTTCGAGGGTGTTTCCAGAGCATATTTCCAAAACTGTTCAAGAAAGTCCAAGAAAACTTCCTACACACATCAATCAAGTGATGATTAAGAGCCCTTTGCTGTGGAGAAGTTTTCAAGTTTTGATATTTTTATGGTTAACACAAATTTGTTATAATTACTGATTTTAGAGTGTTGCTTCTGTGCTATGGAGGAGTATCCATTTTGAATATACTTTCAGTTACTATATAAACAAAATTGTCAAAATGAATGATTCAAGAGCTTCTCTCAGAAACACTTTAAGGTAATTCAATTCCACGAAACTTCACACACACGCACGCACGCACGTACACACACACACACACACACACACACACAGAGAAAAAATTCTAAATAACTGCTATAACAAGCCTTCAATCAACACTTTGGTTACATCCTTCATATTGACTTAACAATTTGCTCTGAACATTAGCCCTGAGATATCATGTATATGGTATGGATAGGCTCTCTTGGCATCTAAACCACTATTTTTTTCTTAAACATACTGAGGAGAAGTAGGGATTGATTTCAAAATAAGTTATTTCTCTTGGAAATAGATATAAAGCATTGGTGGGTAAAATATATTTGTCTAATTGGATATCAAACATTTTTTATTTTAGATCATGATCGTGATGAACGTGAAAAGAGAAGGCACAAAAAGAAATCAAAGAAAAAGAAACACATGTCTCGATCAGTGAGTATTGATGTGTTTGGTTGACATGTATTGACATGTGTATACTGCCTGCTTCTCCACTTCATGTTGTGTGTTTCCTCTTGTTTACATTTATTTATGCATATTTTGTATAGAATAACAGAAAACTTGAACATCGATAAACTTACTGGTATATGAATACAGTACCCTTTCAAAAAATTATCCTCACTCATGTCCAACATGGCTGCATCATGTCTACATAAACACAATACATTAATGGGCTGTACTCACCCTTTACTTCAAAAAGTCTTTGATACTTGGTAAATCTCCACGGCAATCACTTACCTGTATTGCGATGTTTGTAAAATGTCATGTTTTCTTTTTCTAATGTATGAGAAATTTCAAAAAACGAGAATTTGAGATCAACCAAAATATATTTTGCATCATTACATGTAGGATCTTCATTTGTGTACTGATACACTTTGTAAGATTGTGTTTGTTTAAAGAAACCTAGCAGGAGTTTATTTTGAGCTAAAATCACATCTGACTTGAAGTTATGATGAGTTATGATAAGGTTAAAATCCAGGATTACAATAGGGTTGCTTGTGTCTTCAGTATTGTAATAACATGAAGTGTGGTAAGAATGCTGGTTTAGTATCTTTTTGAAATGCTGGAACAATGTAGCTTGGTGTGTGCATCACTGTAGTAAGTTACATATATCTGTGATGTTGAGGTTTTTCATGGCATGGCTTTTTCTCTCAACAATTTTCTCAAATTATTATTGGAAACACATTTGAACACTTTTTTATGATTTTATGTCTGTTCTTTAAAATGGTGATGTCAAACAGCATTATTTGTAAATAAGTCCTACAAGTTATATAGATTTATACACTTGTGCAGATGATTTCAAAGGTCATTATGAAAGTAAATGTGTTGAAAATTGTTCTTTATATGAAAATTACAATACAAAATTGTAAAAAGAAATGTAACTTAACAGGATATGTAATGTATGTTTAATCCCTCTTAAAGATGTAGCTGTTTTTCAAATGAGATTTTTTTATTGATGTGTGAGGATATAAGCACATCGCAATAATTTTCTGCAATTGTACAGATTAAAAAACAAATAACATACCTTTAGTGGAAATACAGAATTTGGATACACTTAAAAATTTAAAGAAAAAACTTTCGAAGTTAGCACTTGTGTGTCAATATCATATCACAGATAGAACAGTCACTATCATATCACAGATAGTATAGTCACTATCATATCACAGATAGAAGAGTCACTATCATATCACAGTACAGATAGAATAGTCACTATCATATCACAGTACAGATAGAATAGTCACTATCATATCACAGTACAGATAGAATAGTCACTATCATATCACAGTACAGATAGAATAGTCACTATCATATCACAGATAGAACAGTCACTATCATATCACAGATAGTATAGTCACTATCATATCACAGATAGAATAGTCACAATCATATCACAGTACAGATAGAATAGTCACTATCATATCACAGTACAGATAGAATAGTCACTATCATATCACAGATAGAACAGTCACTATCATATCACAGATAGTATAGTCACTATCATATCACAGATAGAATAGTCACTATCATATCACAGTACAGATAGAATAGTCACTATCATATCACAGTACAGATAGAATAGTCACTATCATATCACAGTACAGATAGAATAGTCACTATCATATCACAGATAGAACAGTCACTATCATATCACAGATAGAATAGTCACTATCATATCACGGATAGAACAGTCACTATCATATCACGGATAGAACAGTCACTATCATATCACAAATAGAATAGTCACTAACATATCACAGATAGAATAGTCACTATCATATCACAGATAGAACAGTCACTATCATATCACAGATAGTATAGTCACTATCATACCACAGATAGAATAGTCACAATCATATCACAGTACAGATAGAATAGTCACTATCATATCACAGTACAGATAGAATAGTCACTATCATATCACAGATAGAACAGTCACTATCATATCACAGATAGTATAGTCACTATCATAACAGATAGAATAGTCACTATCATATCACAGTACAGATAGAATAGTCACTATCATATCACAGTACAGATAGAATAGTCACTATCATATCACAGTACAGATAGAATAGTCACTATCATATCACAGATAGAATAGTCACTATCATATCACAGATAGAATAGTCACTATCATATCACGGATAGAACAGTCACTATCATATCACGGATAGAACAGTCACTATCATATCACAAATAGAATAGTCACTAACATATCACAGATAGAATAGTCACTATCATATCACAGTACAGATAGAATAGTCACTATCATATCACAGTACAGATAGAATAGTCACTATCATATCACAGTACTGATAGAATAGTCACTATCATATCACAGTACTGATAGTATAGTCACTATCATATCACAGTACAGATAGAATAGTCACTATCATATCACAGTACTGATAGTATAGTCATCATATCACAGTACAGATAGAATAGTCACTATCATATTACAGTACAGATAGAATAGTCACTATCATATCACAGTACAGATAGAATAGTCATCATATCACAGTACTGATAGAATAGTCACTATCATATCACAGTACAGATAGAATAGTCACTATCATATCACAGTACTGATAGAATAGTCACTATCATATCACAGTCTGATAGTATAGTCACTATCATATCACAGTACAGATAGAAGAGTCACTATCATATCACAGTACTGATAGTATAGTCATCATATCACAGTACAGATAGAATAGTCACTATCATATTACAGTACAGATAGAATAGTCACTATCATATTACAATACAGATAGAATAGTCACTATCATATAACAGTAGATAGAATAGTCACTATCATATCACAGTACAGATAGAATAGTCATCATATCACAGTACTGATAGAATAGTCACTATCATATCACAGTACTGATAGAATATTCACTATCATATCACAGTACTGATAGAATAGTCACTATCATCAGTTATGCACCTATGTTTTTCTCTACAGTTATTGAATGAGATGCCACTTTTATATAAAAAAAAAACTCTTAATAGTATCATTTAAAGGATAGTGACATTAATCATATTAAGATATAGAATCGTAGGCATGAGAACATTGGTGGTCCATTAGCTGTCCCATCTACTAGGAAATCCATTATACTTTGAAAATATGATGTTTGACATCAGAGCTGTATAATTTATATTTACAATAGATACCATAGCAAGGCAGTGGAATGTCATTTATTGGCTGACTTTACTGATTAATCATTATCCCATGATGAAGTTGGTCACCTGCTTTCAATAATTGATTCTGTTATTGCAATGAAATTTGTATTCCATGTTTTCTTCTGTTAAATTCCAAATTTATGAAGGCTCTCTCATCACATTACATAAATAACTTTACATAACATTTGAAATTTAAAACATGAAGAAAGTAGAAAGCTAGGGTTGATGGAGGGCCATAATGGTGCGTGGGGGAAGTTATCACAAGAAGTAAAGGGAGATAATTTTGTCATCCCAATATTTGTGTCATGAGTACATCTTGTATTTTAGGACTCGAGTGGCAGTGAAGCAGATCGGGAAGATTACAAATCCTCTAAATCAAAGAAACGGCGGAAAGATAAGTCTAGGGTAAGTTAGGGACACACAGGATAGAAAGAGGAATGAAGACAATTGACTAAGATAAAAGGTCCTACTGTTGTGACAGAAGGTTACGTGTAGCCAAAGACAAATTACTTAACATTTCTAACTTTATCATTCTGTGGTTTGTTGTGTGGTGCATCACTAGCAGCCTACAATTATGTTCTGTACAAGGAGAGGTACATAGTAATAGTCTAGTTTATTTAGCATATATTAATGAAAATGTTACTCAACTGAAATGCTTGTATCACTGCATACTCACATTTTTGCTCAATAGTCAAGTTATAATAATGAGACCAGTCACATTCATTTTAATCATTCTATATTTGTTTAGATACATATGAATTATGTTGCTGTACAGTAATGGACCCCCCACCCCCTCCCCCACTCACACATCCCTCCTCACCCCACCCCATTCCTAATCCCCCACTTTTCCCCCTCCCTCCACAATGCCTGCTAAATATAGTTAATGATCTAATGAAGCACCAAAATCTCCATCTGGAGTCCTATATTACAGACATCCCTCCCATTCTTATAATCCTTATATCATCATTTATCATAACTTCATTTGATGAGTTATGAAATAGAAAATGCTCATAAACTCTCAATTTTCAATGTCAGTTATCAAAAAAAAAATCATTACTTCTTTATCAGATTTAGCTAGGTTAAATGATTTGATAGCATGCTCCTCTGGTAATACACTGGTACATATTTCTCTGTAGAAAACCAACACAACTGGTGCATGTGAGCGTGCAGTGAGTTATGTCTATTAACACCTTTGCTTGTGCCTTAAGTAGCTAAAATGTTATCTGTGACCAACATGTCTGATATTGCCTTATTTCATATTGCACGCACAGCATTGCTACTATTATGTTAGCTTTTTATTGCACCAAAAAAATCAGTTGGCAATCTTGTAAACTTTTAATGCCATGATTTGATTATACTACTGATTCTAGGTGGAAAAAAATCACATAAAATTGAAATGTTTTATATATGATTTATTCCATTTGCAATTATAAAATCCCAGTTGATAAGCTATTTTTGCAGCAGTTTTATTTCCATAACTTTCAACAATACAATGGAAATTGGTAGTTTTACAATGTTGATAGCACTCAGTGTGCTTTATAAAAAATGCCATAGCTTGATAGAAATGCCGGTGACGGCTTTACTTTGGTAAATATAAAATATATTACAACTGTTAGAAGTCTGAGAACTGGTTACTATGTCAAAATAAAAAAGTTTGGGGAATGTGAAAAGTAGTTCATAAAAAAATGTATCAAAAACATTAATCTTAAGGGTATAACATCTTAGAATTTTACTTTCATCTGTGTCAAAGTACAAATGTCCGTTATGGTAAATGTGATCAATCAGTTGTGTATTTTAAAGCTATACTATATTACTTGTTGTTTAAAACTGGCAATTTAGAGTGTAGGCAAATACTAACCTTCATCACATTATCTAAAAAAAAATCTGCAGTGTATGAAAATTAAGTTCTTATCTTGATGAGATAAGTAAATAACACTGTGCAAATTCAACACAGTATAGAATATATTCCCAGACAGTGTTATGATGTTTCAATCAAGTCCATGAATAGAGTCCAGAAAAAAGAAGTTCAAGACAAAATTGACCTTGGAAAGAAATATTTGCAAAATTTCTTGATCATGTGGTGAAGAAAAGGTTTGTGATTTTAAAAGAAAACACTTTATGCAATATTTAGAAAAAAACATGAAAATATTGAACTCATACAGGCCCATTGAATTAACCACTCTGGAACTTATTTAAGTTTTGTCAGAATAAATAATTTATAGTAAATAAATAGAAATATTGAGATGCTGCCAGTTTAAAAGCATGTAATTACAAGCACATTGGTGACACAGTTCAAAGTTTAATTAAGGACCTGCTTTTGTTGTTTGTGGTGTAGGTCATGTTTTTTCAGCTTTTATACAGGCGATTGCTGTGAGAATTTGTGATAGCTAAAAAGTGGGATGGTCAGATGGTTCTAAAATACAGTGGGTTATTTTAGTGTGAAGACCAGAAGTTAGCTGTAAAGGTTGGACCAGTTATGGCCAGTTATTGAAGTATTAAACAAAATCTGACTGATACTGTTACTCTATACATCTAAGGATTAAGATTATTTCATAATGGTAGAAAATTGCCACTTTGTTCATTTGTTCAATTGTTTCTGAATAGTTTTTGGAAATTTCTTCCTTAACGAAAATTATCTCACTTAAGAAAAGTAAAGCAAATGCATGACAGAGCAAGTTGTATTTATTTAAAAATCCAAACACACACCTCTATAACAAAAAAATAACAAATTTAAGTTCTCAGAATTTGTATGAAAATCCATAGTATAATTCTTTGTTTCTTGAAAGGAGGGGGTAATTTTGATATTATAGGAGGGGGTAATTTTGATATTATACGAATGGGTAATTTTTATATTATACGAGGGGGTAATTTTGATATTATACGAGGGGGTAATTTTGATATTATACGAGGGGCTAATTTTGATATTATACAAGGGGGTAATTTTGATATTATACGAGGGGCTAATTTTGATATTATACGAGGGGGTAATTTTGATATTATACGAGGGGGTAATTTTTATATTATACGAGTGGGTAATTTTGATATTATACGAGGGGGTAATTTTGATATTATACGAGGGGCTAATTTTGATATTATACAAGGGGGTAATTTTGATATTATACGAGGGGCTAATTTTGATATTATACGAGGGGCTAATTTTGATATTATACGAGGGGGTAATTTTGATATTATACAAGGGAGTAATTTTGATATTATACGAGGGGCTAATTTTGATATTATACGAGGGGGTAATTTTATACGAGAGGGTAATTTTGATATTATACGAGTGGGTAATTTTGATATAATACGAGGGGGTAATTTTGATATTATACGAGTGGGTAATTTTTATATTATATTAGAGGGTAATTTTGATATTATACGAGTGGGTAATTTTGATATTATACGAGTGGGTAATTTTTATATTATACAAGGGGCTAATTTTGATATTATACGAGGGGCTAATTTTGATATTATACGAGTGGGTAATTTTGATATTATACGAGGGGGTAATTTTTATATTATACGAGGGGGTAATTTTGATATTATATTAGGGGGTAATTTTGATATTATATTAGGGGGTAATTTTGATATTATACGAGGGGGTAATTTTGATATTATACGAGTGGGTAATTTTTATATTATACGAGGGGGTAATTTTGATATTATACGAGTGGGTAATTTTTATATTATACGAGGGGGTAATTTTGATATTATACGAGTGGGTAATTTTTATATTATACGAGGGGGTAATTTTGATATTATACAAGTGGGTAATTTTGATATTATACGAGTGGGTAATTTTGATATTATATTAGGGGGTAATTTTGATATTATACGAGGGGGTAATTTTGATATTATACGAGTGGGTAATTTTTATATTATACGAGGGGGTAATTTTTATATTATACAAGGGGCTAATTTTGATATAATACGAGGGGCTAATTTTGATATTATACAAGGGGGTTATTTTGATATTATATGAGCGGCTAATTTTGATATTATACGAGGGGGTAATTTTGATATTATACGAGTGGGTAATTTTTATATTTTACGAGGGGGTAATTTTTATATTATACAAGGGGCTAATTTTGATATAATACGAGGGGCTAATTTTGATATTATACGAGGGGGTAATTTTGATATTATACGAGGGAGTTATTTTGATATTATACGAGGGGGTAATTTTGATATTATAGGAGGGGGTTATTTTATATGAGGGAGTAATTTTGATATTATATGAGCGGCTAATTTTGGTAGTATATGAGGGAGTTATTTTGATATTATACAAGGGGATTATTTTGATATTATAGGAGGGGGTTATTTTGATATTATATGAGCGGCTAATTTTGGTATTATACGAGGGAGTAATTTTGATATTGTACGAGGGAGTTATTTTGATATTATATTAGGGGGTTATTTTGATATTATAGGAGGGGGTTATTTTGATATTATATGAGCGGCTAATTTTGGTATTATACGAGGGAGTAATTTTGATATTATACGAGGGAGTAATTTTGATATTATACGAGGGGCTAATTTTGATATTATATTAGGGGGTAATTTTGATATTATACGAGGGGGTAATTTTGATATTATACGAGGGAGTAATTTTGATATTATATGAGGGGGTAATTTTGATATTATATTAGGGGGTTATTTTGATATTATACGAGGGGCTAATTTTGATATTATACGAGGGAGTAATTTTGATATTATAGGAGGGGGTTATTTTGATATTATATGAGCGGCTAATTTTGGTATTATACGAGGGAGTAATTTTGATATTATACGAGGGGGTAATTTTGATATTATACGAGGGAGTAATTTTGATATTATATGAGCGGCTAGTTTTGGTAGTATATGAGGGAGTTATTTTGATATTATACAAGGGGATTATTTTGATATTATAGGAGGGGGTTATTTTGATATTATATGAGCGGCTAATTTTGGTATTATACGAGGGAGTTATTTTGATATTATATTAGGGGGTTATTTTGATATTATAGGAGGGGGTTATTTTGATATTATATGAGCGGCTAATTTTGGTATTATACGAGGGAGTAATTTTGATATTATACGAGGGAGTAATTTTGATATTATACGAGGGGCTAATTTTGATATTATATTAGGGGGTAATTTTGATATTATACGAGGGGGTAATTTTGATATTATATTAGGGGGTAATTTTGATATTATATTAGGGGGTTATTTTGATATTATACGAGGGGCTAATTTTGATATTATACGAGGGAGTAATTTTGATATTATATTAGTGGGTAATTTTGATATTATATTAGGGGGTTATTTTGATATTATACGAGGGGCTAATTTTGATATTATACGAGGGGGTTATTTTGATATTATAGGAGGGGGTTATTTTGATATTATATGAGCGGCTAATTTTGGTATTATACGAGGGGGTAATTTTGATATTATACGAGGGAGTAATTTTGATATTATATGAGCGGCTAGTTTTGGTAGTATATGAGGGAGTTATTTTGATATTATACAAGGGGATTATTTTGATATTATAGGAGGGGGTTATTTTGATATTATATGAGCGGCTAATTTTGGTATTATACGAGGGAGTAATTTTGATATTGTACGAGGGAGTTATTTTGATATTATACGAGGGGGTTATTTTGATATTATATGAGCGGCTAATTTTGGTATTATACGAGGGAGTAATTTTGATATTGTACGAGGGAGTTATTTTGATATTATACGAGGGGGTTATTTTGATATTATATGAGCGGCTAATTTTGGTATTATACGAGGGAGTAATTTTGATATTATACGAGGGGCTAATTTTGATATTATATTAGGGGGTAATTTTGATATTATACGAGGGGGTAATTTTGATATTATACGAGGGAGTAATTTTGATATTATATTAGGGGGTGATTTTGATATTATATTAGGGGGTTATTTTGATATTATACGAGGGGCTAATTTTGATATTATACGATATTATACGAGGGGGTAATTTTGATATTATACGAGGGAGTAATTTTGATATTATATTAGGGGGTTATTTTGATATTATACGAGGGAGTAATTTTGATATTATACGAGGGGGTAATTTTGATATTATATTAGGGGGTTATTTTGATATTATACGAGGGGCTAATTTTGATATTATACGAGGGAGTAATTTTGATATTATACGAGGGGGTAATTTTGATATTATATTAGGGGGTTATTTTGATATGATACGAGGGGCTAATTTTGATATTATACGAGGGAGTAATTTTGATATTATATTAGGGGGTAATTTTGATATTATACGAGGGGGTAATTTTGATATTATACGAGGGAGTAATTTTGATATTATACGAGGGGGTTATTTTGTTGCTCATTTTTTACTTTGCCTGCTTTTTGCCACCAGATGTTGACAGTATAATTGTGATATAACATTGAAAATTTCAAAACACACTCAAGTTAATCCCGATAACTGATGATGGTTTCGTATTAGGGTAATGTGGTAACAGAATATTTGGAAGTTTCAGAGACTCTGATTAAATATTGATTAGTTGGATGTTTTACATAAGTGTGTAAAATGAAGTTTGATTTCAGGTGTTGAGTAAGTTAAAGGGACTGATTACTTGTAACTGATATATGTTTTAGGGGGACTATGACACAGAGAGTGATGTCAGTGAGGGAGAACTAGAGAAGCGTCGCAGACTCCTTCTCCAACAACTTGCTGCTGACCAGTAAACCCACAGCCAGTGACACCATGTAGACAGAATGATTGTTGTTGGTTGACCCAATATACTTGACAGCAGAACCCAAAGTCAAGACTTTGTTGTGTTTTTTACCATGGATAAAGAGGAATTTAAGTGAAGCACTTTCTGTGGTATTCATTCATGATGTTACAAAACGGGAAAGGAAATATACCAAAAAATTAAAGATATTTGGGCCCATCAGTCATGTTGTTTACAGTCAGATGATAAGATGTTGATTTGTGGAATCAGTGTATATATTGATCGCCATAATAAAACTGGAGTGAGAAAATGACTGGACTTGACCAGACTCTAAAGTCCAGTGAAAACAAAGACAGTAAACAAAAAATGATAGACTGAATATTTAATTTGTTTGAACCTCAGTGATCTGGCCTAAAATTCAGCTCATTTTGACATAAAACGAAGATGATGAATTTAGCTTGGCCTGTAATTTACATTTATATATTATTGTCCTAAACATATTTAGACAGGTACAAACATTGTGTGTTGAATTTTAAATAATAAAAACAAGTTTGTCGTCAATGTCCATGTACAAAGTATTAAGATTGACAAGGATGTCAAATAGATATCATTTCTTCTGGTGTGACCAACTCTGAAGTGAGGACTGGCAGAAAATAAAGTGCTGTTTGTGTGCCCTATATATCAGTGTACTGTGTATAGGACTAGAGTAAAGATAAAGTATTTGTTCACTGAACCAGGAAAGAGTTTGAGGTGTTTGAATTGATAACTATAGATACATTAATTCATCTCTACAGAAATCATCTGATACTCAAACTGACTGTTTGTTAAACATTCTGGAAATTGGATAGTCTTGTTGACAGTCGTTGGAATTATATCAATAGTACTGACAAACTACAGCATGCTGTGTAAGTTTTTGTGCCATGTGTCCTGAAATCATTGTGTCTATCTTGGGGTTATACACAGAACAGAGGTCTTCAAAGTGATCTGTTGTTGACGCTGTACACCTTTATATTGAATTCTGACATTACAATATGAATAGATTCTTATTGGACATGATTTACGACAAATGGCTAGTTTGTCTCGCACATGTCGTGGCAGTATTACTATGTGCAGTATTAGCCATCATGTAAAGCATTCCATTATTTTTTACAATGCCATCTTGTTTACAATGATTTTGATCATTTGTGACCATGAAGTAACATATTTCATTAAAATCATCTGAACAGTACACTATTGTCTGGTTTTATGGCAAACCACAGGTGTCTGGTGTCTGTCCGTCAACTTTTTTCTACAGATGCTATTAGTCGAGAATAAATCAGATCTTGACTGAATTTGGTCATGGTGATGGTAAAAAGTGTGTAAAATCTTTAACGAGGTAAAAAAAAAACCACCAATATGTCAAAGAATATCATCCAAACTGAAATGAAATGGGACAAAATACAAAAAAAAGAAAGATTTACTTGGAGATGCCTGAAAAAGTACAAGGAAAATAAGACCAAGTGTTTGATATATTCAGTCTTGTATAGAAACGAAAAACACATCAACTAAAAGACAGTTACAGACAATAGAGATGATTTAAAATAGGAAGGTTACTATTAGAAACAGGAAGTTTGTGATCAGAAATTCAAATGATGAAACTTAGTAATGAACCATTCTGTTTGGTATTGCTATCTGAAGTTTCAAGTTCATTAAAATGTTGACAATTGACTTGGCTAAAAATTGCATTTCTTCAGATTGTGAGAAAAATTGCACACAGTTACAGAATGGAAAAGACAAGTTTCGCGAGGAAAAAAATTAGCGTTGGATATTTATGTTTTAACATAGAAAAGAACAAAAAACAAGATCCAACTAAGAAGTAGGTACAAAAAGGCTTCGGAAACCTAGAGGAATTCATTGCAAAAGAGACAGATCCTTCTTCAGAGTAAAGTGTTTAATTTAGATATGATATAGTAATATCAACATTTTGACAGATACTAGGGCTGGATATGGCATAATTAAAACAGTCCTGGCTCTTCATATCAATGGGCATTTCCAAGAAGGACGAAAGAGGTGTATGATAAAGTTTTATTCATTATTTGGATCTACAGTTATCTAAACATGTATTGAACAGTGATGGTGGACTTATAAAATCCCTGAGATTTGTGGTAATCTGCCTGCCACTAAAAAGAAATTTTCGAACAGTGACAACTTTCACAATTATACCCAACCATTCATGTACGTACTGACCGTTGTTGAAGGTGAACATGTATGGCAGTTTTCAGGTATATATTTAGCTAAAGACGTTCAGGCATAAACTTCCATATCAGCCTGCTAATTCCTGACCACCTATACATGTCACTGCTTTTCATGTGACAACTGTGTCTATTCGATACCTGCGAAATTGTTAGTAAATCGGGTCACAATCGAGGACGTTAGGTTTCGGTCGTTGACCACGTTAAATGTAAACAACAGTCTCTAGGGATCAGTTCGGTGTAATGAGTTTTTACCGTCTCGATACAGATTTCGCTAAATGGTTGGGGTCTGGTAAGCCAGATATTGTTCTGAGGTTAAAATGATAACGAAGATTTGTCTTCTTTTTCCCTTTAAAAAAAATCAGGGATATTTGTCAATATCACGATTCTTAATTGATTAAAATTAAACTGGTGGGGAGGTCAAGGTCACGCGGACCTGGGTGGTCACTAAAAATTTGCTCTGAGCGAGTAGAGTTATTTATGTAATTTTCTGGCGTTCAGAATATTGTGATTTTTGGACTATGGATTGTTAATACATTCCGAATCTGAACGGTTGAAGAATTTCTTGAAATCTTAACCAGGAAAGTGTTTTTTTGGACTTTTGCTAACAGGACAATGGATTAGACCTTAGCGTGACAACTACTTACGACGCGCCCACTATACAGCTTACATGTAGTTCGTGCCTTATACGCTTTACATATGTGTATATAGATGTTTGTGAACTTTTGAAACATGGGGAAACCTGGAACAACAAGAAGTCAGAGTACTACAGGTACCAAGACAACAGAAGAAAGATTGGAAGAAATTACTGCAATGCTTCATAACCTTGTGACGAAAACGGAGATGGACAAAAAGATCCTTCGAATTACTGACAAGATGGAGGAAAAGTTCACAAAGTTGAGGGATGACATCAAAGAAGAGAATCGTGAGTTGGTAGAGTCATTGGAAGGACGTATTTACGAACTGGAGAAGGAAAATGAAATGCTTAGAGAGCATGTTGAGAACCTGGAATCTAAGTGTTCAGAACTCCAAGTCTCAAAGACCACTATGGGTGAAAAGTTTAATGACTTAGAACAACATGGACGAAAAAATTCAATTAGAATTTTCGGACTAGAGGATCCGTCGGAAAAAGAGACTGTCGACGAATGTAAGGAAAGTGTTGTGAGATTTGTCAACTCTAGGCTGAATGTTCCACTCAGGGAAGAAGATATTGACATTGCCCACAGACTCGGGAAGTTCGTTCGTGGAAAAAACAGAAATGTGATTGTGAAGTTCACGCATAGGACGAAAAAGCATGAGATCATGAAGGCCAGGCGAGTGTTAAAGGGTTCCGGTGTGACTGTTTTCGAGGACTTGACTAAGTATAACCAGGATCGACTTAAGGAGGCATACAGACTTAATTGTGTGAAAAATACTTATAGTATAGACGGCAAGCTGTATGCTATTCTAATGGACGGTAGAAAGCGTAGGCTTTCTTTTGATATTCCTCTCACTGACGATTTCCTTATGAAGGACGAGAATTTCAGACGATCCAAAAGGGACGATTTTTCGTAAGTGACAATGTGTTTGATCGCGTCGCGCTAAATCGGTAATGGACCTTTCCGGGAATTACCCGGTTACCGATTAGTCGTGATCTAGGTGCATGTGTTGTGATATAATATTTGTGTGTTGTGATATAATTTATGTGTGTGAGTTCCCTTGGAAATTATACCTTGGAATTAAGGAATTCGATATTTAAGGTATGTCATATTTTTCTGTTTATCGTTAAACAATAAGTGTAACAAGATGATCCATATACAGTAATCGTTACTAGCTAGGCTAACACGTCCTCTTTTTTCCCTCTACCTTTCTCTCTTCACTAACTATCGGTCCGCTATACATTTTCATAATTTTTGTATCAGTGGATTAAATTATTTTATTTTATTTCTATTGTTACTTTGTTGATTTACTCAAAATCTGAACCCGTTTTTTTTCTCCACTAGTTTCAGGAGAATACGGATTATAACCTTAGTTTTTTCCATCTTTACTATAGTACTTCCGGTAGAAATGGTTACTTCCTGTTTGTACCTCGTTCCCGTTCCTGTGCACGAGTCTTGCCTGGTAAACTTTTCTTAACTGTTTTGCTTCAGGGCGCGGAGTCGTAAAGTTGTCTTGACTCAGACCTTTGTGATACTTTTTATTCTTCTTTTCTCCTCTCTTTCTGTCTCTTTTCTGTTCTGTTTTCTTCTGACGAAAATGGGCAAAGTTTCGCTTCGGGAAAATGATTGGGGTTACACCTTATATTTACTTTTTGTCTATTACTACATTCTGCTGATAACATAACGATTTTGAGTTCAAACTGTCAGGGTCTTGGGGATCGGGTAAAACGAAAAGACGTTTTTTCTTACTTGAGAAGTAAATCATGTAATATATTTTGTCTACAGGATACTCATTTCACTCAAGATAAAGAAAACATCTATAGAAGTGAATGGGGGTATGAGTGTTATTTTAATTTCTATAAGTCCAATGCTAGGGGTGTAGCTATACTCATAAATAATAATTTTGAATATAAGGTTAATAAGGAAAAGAAAGATGATACTGGTAATTTTCTGGCCCTAGATATGAATATTGAAGGTTCAAGAATTACTCTCATAACTATATATGGTCCAAATCAGGATAATCCAGGCTTTTATAGTAATATTGTTGATGTTGTTGAGGAACTAGGAAACTCTGATGTTATTATTTGTGGTGATTTTAATTTAGTTTTAAAACCAGAAATAGATTATGATAATACCTACAAAAATGTAAATAACCCTAAGGCAAGAGAAAAGGTAGGTGAACTCATGGAAAACTATGGTTTAGTAGACATTTTTAGAGAACATCATGAATTTTCTAGAAGATACACATGGAGAAGGACTAATCCGGTTAAACAGGCTAGACTTGATTTTTTTCTTGTGTCTGAGTGTTTGTTATCCAGTTGCGTAAATTCTTCTATAGAGCCAGGATATAAATCAGATCATTCAATTCCTAAAATCAGCTTAAAGTTTAATAAATTCAAAAAAGGAAAGGGGTTATGGAAATTCAATAACTCACTCTTAAATGATTTGGAATACCTGAAACTGGTTAAGACCTGTATTGAAGATATGAAAGTCAGATACTGTTTACCTGTTTATAATTTAGATTCTATCTTAACAATGTCAGATTCAGATTTACACTTTAGTATTGATGATCAGTTGTTTTTAGAAGTCTTATTGATGGAAATTAGGGGAAAAACAATTTCTTACTCAAGTTATTTGAAAAAAACGCAGAATATTAGAGAAGAAAGTCTAAAGAAGTCTATAGAGGAATTAGAAAATAGTGAAAACATGGACATAGTTGAACTGATGAATAAGAAAAAAGAACTAGAGATAATTAGGTTACATAAAATACAAGGAAATATTATCAGATCAAGGGCGAAATGGGTAGAGGAAGGGGAGAAATCCACATCATATTTTTTTGGCCTAGAAAACAGAAATTATACTTCAAAAATAATTCCCAAAGTTCAGAAAGATGAGGTATTAATTACAGATCAGTGTGCAATTCTAACTGAAGTTCATGATTTTTATGAGAAATTATATGGTGTCTCAGATAATATATCTGATGTTAATCTGGAAGATTTTATGAATGATTTTAATGTTCCAAAATTAGACAATATAGAATCAGAATCACTAGAAGGTAATATTACACTTGAAGAAGCAGGTAAAACACTTAGTAAAATGAAGAATAACAAGAGTCCTGGTTCTGATGGCTTCACTACAGAATTTTTTAAATGCTTCTGGAAACAACTAGGTACTTTTATTGTTAGGTCACTAAATTTTGGATACTCAGTTAATGAACTTTCTATCACACAAAGACAAGGAATTATCACTTGTATACCTAAGGGAGACAAACCGAGACACTTTTTAAAAAACTGGCACCCCATTTCATTTTTGAATATTGTTTATAAAATTGCATCGGGGGTTATAGCAAATAGAATAAA